CCCAATAAAAATCTTTAAAAAATAAATAACAGTATACTCTAATTATGTAATGTGACAAATACCACTACAACATCAATCACTTACAATATATAAATGTATCAAAGTAACAAGTTGTATACCTTAAATTCACAAAATACTATATGTCAAATTTGTTCAAAAATTTTTTTAACTAAAACAGAAAAGCATTGACTGCATTTACCCAAACAAAATAAACAGATGTTAAAAAAAAAAAGCCTAAAAGTGCTAAGACTCTGCCTAATTCAATGTACTACCTCATCACACATTTTGGGTCTTAAAACAAAAAAAATAGGCTGCCTGTACAAAGGCTTCAAAAGCCCTGCGTAAATCAAATCCCAACTCATTACCTGCCTAAGGTCACAAAACAAGTCACTGATTGGCTAAACCTCAGGTATCTTCATCAGTAAAATGAAGACACAGAGTTTGGGATAAAGAACCTATATACATACTTAATAGTTATCATTATCTGTTAATTATTGCAAGAGCACACACATAACAATCTATAACTGCCTGAGGTTTTAACATGGAATGTTGGGTTTTGCTTCAAATGTATACTTCAAACTACCTCAACGCTGTCGTACCACCGTGTTTCCTAAAATGTTTACACATCCTCTTTGCTAACTGCTCCTAGACTAAGATCATCCCAACTTTAAGCTCAGGATCAGTCTGTACTTAGCCTGTTTACAACAGGTCTGATGCTTGTAATTGTTCATTATCCCCAAGCTAGACTTTAAGTTCCTTGAAGGCAAAAGCTGTGTCTTAGTCCTTTCTAATCATTCACTATTTGAGTTATTTGAGTACTTTCTATGTGCTTGGCCCTGATCTAGGTCCTGACAACACAGCAGTGAACAAAATAAGTCTCTGACCTCTTGGAGCTTATAGTCTAACGAGATGAGACATTAAGTAAATAAGTACATATCAACTAGTGATTAAGTGCTAGTAAATAAAGGAAGGTATGAGGGCTAGGAAGTACTGTAGGAGCTTGGAAGTTGGTATTTTACATAGTGTATCAGGGAAAGCTTCACATATAACTGGAAGCTGAAATAAGTGGAGCAGGTCACACACATCTGGAGGGAAGGAGTCATCCAGATAGAGGGGAAAGATCAAGTGCCATGAGGCAGGAACACAGCTGTGTGGGGGGGGGGAAGTTATCAGAAGGCAAATGTATAGTTGAGGGTAGGGACAACAGACACATGGGAGGGCAGGCTCTGAGAGCAGAAGAGTGCTGTTATCTGATTTATGTTTTAAAGAATCACTCAGACTTCTGTATGGAGAACAGAGAATAAAGAATGGAAACAGTGAGCCTCATAAAACACTGCAATAATCCAGAGGAGACATAACGTGGCTTGAACCAAGGGAGTGATGATGATTAGCTGGATTCTCGTCAGGTTTTGAAGACAGAACCCACAATATTTGTTGATGAACTGGATGTGAAGAGACAGAAAGAATCAAGGAGAGCGTTTAAAGGTTCAAGAAGAGTAGAATTGCCATAAACTGAGACAAGAAAGTCAGAGAAGCAATTTTATTTTCCCAGAACCCAGCAAATTGCCCAGTGCATAGTAGATGCTCAAATATTTATTTGTGAATTAAATTTAACTGAATAAACTCCCAAAAGAAAGCAGTAAACTCAATATATTGCTTTCTATTTGCTCTAAATTTTCTTTGGTAATGTTTGTTAAATACACAAAGAGACTTAGCCAGCCAGGAGCACAGTTCATATGCTAACATGGAAACCTTACGCTGGTACACAGCAACTAATCCTTGCATCTCAAGAACCAGTTTGTTTTAAATTTACAATTCTCCTGGATATAAGAGAAATCTGCTATGAAAGCACTGTGACAGCCTGAGGATTCTTACACCCAAAGTAATTAACCTGTTCGTTAATGATGTCATATTCCTGGAAGGTACAGAAATGCAAATAGAACTCCCTAGGCCAGAATTAATTGAAAATGATAATACTTCGTGATAAAATTTCAGAATGGGTCAAGATTGAACAAGTCCCCTAAAAACAGAGTCATCAGCACTTTTTTTAAATGGTCTTTTTTACCTCAAGCAGTAAGTCCCTTCAAAACAATTTCAATGAAAAATTAAAATCCGCTTGAGAAAGTGAAATTTGGCACATCTTCCCCCAAGCAAGCACTTTTCCTGACCGTTAGTGAAAATGAGTTTCACTTAAGAAAAATTTGGGTGTCCTCACCTTTGGCACTATTATAGTCCTATTCCTACATTTTCTAAACCAGCACGTTTACTATAGCTCCATGAAGAACCACAAAGTTAACAGAAACGAATTCAAAGGAATTCTAAAATAAATAGCCACCATCCTTCTCAACCTTGCTGTTACTTAAAAAAATGTAATGGAGGCTTAAGTATCATTTCTCTTCCACATTAGTTTCCCTAATGCCCCACCCTAACCTAATGTGTTTTAAAAAAATGCGCTTACAACTTTAAGTTAAAATATGGTTTAAGAACCTAGATAATTGGGAGAAGCTGATCGTACTGAATTCAGCAACAGGCAGTACTTTCCTTTTGCCAATCAGTAAAAGGCCTTGAACCAACCCAAACAAATCTGCTGAAATGCCAGCCAGATTCCCCGTATCTCCCCCCCCCCCGTTTCCTCCCCCCCAAAGCTGGCCTGGAAACACAACAGCCACTGACCACGGAGCTGAACTGAAAAGAACCAGTGGCAGCAAAAACAATGATTTTTAGGGGCAGGAGGGTTAAAGGCCAGGTTTTCAACTACCACCTATGAGCGAGTACGAGCCCAGGCGACCCACAAACGCATTCCAAACAGAATGGCACCATTCTTCCCCCGCTCCGAAGGCTCCGCACGCGGATTAGAGGCGAGGTGAGCCGAGGGTTCTTCCCAGCGAGAAGCTAGAACCGCCTCGAGTGAAGGGAGTGCCCAGGGGTGCCCGGCGCCCGAGGAACCGAGAGCAAATAAGCACGCGTGCCAAGGAGGAATGCGGTGTCCCCCACGGAGCCGAACGCTCGGCGCCTACCACAGGACGCTAAGGGCAGGGAGCCCCCCTCGGGCTTTGCCTACCCGGGTGGAAAAGCTGGAGAGGCTACAGGTTCAGGACCCCCCAAGAAGGGGCCTGGGAAGCTACTCGTTCCCCAGGACACGGGTTGGGCGCACGGGGACGGAAGGTGGGAGCTGCCGCTGTTTCGTTTCTCGTGTCATCACTGAAGTAGGGGAAACCCTAAAGAGAGTGGGGAGTGTGGGGGAGGGGAGCATGACAGCGAACGGGGATGCGGGCTCCGAGCGGCGGGGGGCGCGGGACGGTGGGGTCTGCGCACCGCGAAGGGGAAGAAGGCGCAACCCCGGCCCGGGGCCAGGGAGGCGCGACCGCCCGCCGGACTCTGGAAACCCGGCGCTTCCCTGCCAGCCACAAGGGGGAAGGAGCCACCCTCCTCCCCGCCCCCACACTCACCATGTAGAGGGTGAAGGGCAGGCCGAGCAGAAAGAGCCACAGGTAGAGGTGCAGTGCGTTCACGAAGGTGGCCTGGTGCGGGTCGTAGTACCAGCCCCCGCTGAGCGCGGCCCACACCCCCTGCCGGAGGATCTGCAGCGTCTGCGACCCCATCCCCACCCGGCGCCGCCGCCGCCGCCGCCGCCGCCGTCCTCGCCCCGGCCCCAGCTCTGCCGCGGTCGCCGGAGCCCGCAGCTGCCCCGTCTATCCCCCTCCGGAGCTCCGGGAGAGCGGGCCGGCGCTTCGGCGGTCGCTAGGGCTGCTGCAGCAGGAGGAGGAGGCAGCGAACGAGGAGGAGGAGACCGAGGAGGCGGCGGCGAGCGGCGGGGCGGAGGAGAGCGGAGAAGAGGAGGGGACCGGCTTCCAAGGCGCCGCCGCCATCTTGTCTCCTAACACTCGGAGCCGGAGCTAGTGCCCCGCCGCCCGCGGCCCGCCAGCGCCGCCGCCGCAGCCGCCGCCGCAGCCGCGACCCCCGTCGGCCGGTAGCCTTGGGCCGGGCGGAGAAGGAGGCCCGGCGCCCGGGAGGGACCCGGAGCAAGCCGCGCCCCCTTCAGCTCCTCCTCTCCCTCCGCCCCCTGGGCAGGCTCCGCGAGAGTGCGCGCGGCGCCTCGGTCTTCGCGGGCGCCTCCTGCCGGCGCCCAGAAGAAGCGCGGGCCGCGGGCAGGGGGACGGGGCTGCCGGTGATCGGGTTCAGGGGCTCTGGGAGATCCCACTCCTCTCCTGGCGCAAGTGAACCTGGCAAGTTCGTTGATCAATCCCTGAACCTGGTCTTTCACTCTCTGAAACCTTGTCTTCGGAACTTGTCGGCATTTTATGATATTTATTTTATGATATTTATTAAAGACCCAAGAACAGTAGGGCTAATTGAGATACTCATTGAAGGCCTGGAAGAATTAGGTACAGCGGATGACACTGTTGAAAAATCACAAATGCACCCAATTTGAGCAAAAACTGTGTTGGCCCTTGGAGTGGGCCGGGCCCTTGGGTGAGAAAAACAGCCATGTTTTTCAGTATGGAAGGACTTATTAACTTCCAAAGAGAGAGAAATTAATGGAGGTTACAAGAGATGTAACAGTGTGGGGTGGACAGTTTTATCTTTGTGCATGGTGATTTTGTTTTTCACCGTGCTGTAACTTGTAACCGTTTTTATTAATAGGCCTATCTAAAAGGGATGAAAGATTGGGGCTGGCGGAGTGGCGCAATGGTTAAGAGCTGGCTTGGGATGCCAGAGGGCCCCGGTTCGGATCCCACATGAGGGCCCAGTGACACTGCCCTCTACAGCTAAGATGCTGAACAACAGCTCAACCTGGAGCTGGGCTGCCATGAGTT